CCATGGAGACAGCGGGACCTCCTCCCCGCGACACACACGCAGGTCTCCCAGCGTCAGCGACTGGCGGAGGCCGCGCTCTCTTGGTTGTGAGATTTCCCGCGGGGACCTGCCGCTCGCCAGTGTTTGGAAGGTGTGGAACGTGTACGAGTGTTTCTGTACACTATTCTCTTAGCTGTTAACGTCAAACACGAGTTTGTCTCCTGGGTAGATAAGCATATTGCGAATCAACTATCAGATGTGGGCCAGAAGGTCTCCCCGTCCCGCCCACCAATCAAAGTCAAAACCGAATTTACCCGCGTGGTCAAGGAAATAGGACGTTTGCTCCAGGCTTCAAGCATGTCAACTAGACAGTCAACTAGAATTATGCTGTTGAAACCTATATAATTCTATTAACCACTGTCCTCCTAATAATTTTAATTTTTTAAATTCATAAAAATGGTCAACTAGCATTTCCTTAAATCCTCAAACATCCTCTTTATGTATAAAGAGAAAGCAAGATGGCCCCACCCGCTGGCTCAGTGGTTGAGCGTTGACCTATGAACCCGGAGGTCACGGTTCAAGGTCAGGGCTCCATCCCCAGATGGGGGCGTGCAGGAGGCAGCTGATCAATGATTCTCGCTCATCATTGATGTTTCTATCTCCCTCTCCCTTCCTCTCTGAAATCAATAAAAATATATATTTTTTTAAAAAGCGGAAGCAAGATGAATTTAGATTGTGGTGACAAATGAAAGAAATTAGGACTATCTCTTTCCCTGCCAGAAATAAATAAAAAATGAGGATAAATGAAAATATTTACTTAGTACAATCCAGTGTTCATTGTTTTCAAAATTTTTATTACAATTTCTATCATTTAATATAATAGAGCACCTTTTCATCAAAAGAGGAGCAATGTAAAATTAAACTTTTAAGTATTATCCAACTGTAACTTCACAAAAAAAAATTTAAGGTTAAAATGGATTACATTTCCAGCTGCAGTGTAGAACTTACAGTTGTAATGACCTAATGTTTCTTCTGCTGCAGGACTCAGTCTGAGGCCCCATACTTGAAAAGACAAAAAATAAAATGAAATTTTTGACTATGGTAGGGCAAAGAAATTTTAGTCAAATCTCCTTTAGTGAATATGGAATTACTACCAAAGCTAGAGTAGACCTTAGGTTTCAGAACTCCTAGTTTAATATTTTTCCACTGACTCTCCGAAATATTTGCAAATGTTTGTTGCAAATATTAATGGGATATAGCAGCTCTACTCATAACAGCCAAAAATTGGAGACAAATGTCCATCAAATGATGACTGGATAAAGTGTGTTATATATCCATGCAATGAAATATTTTCAGCAATGAAAAGGAATGAACATCGATGAACCATGAAATTATAAACATTGTTAAGTGAAAGAAGCCAGACACAAAAGACCACATATTGTATGATTCCATTTCTATGAAATGTCCAGAACAGGCAAATCTACAGACAGAATGTAGATTAGGGGTTGCCTAGGACTGGGTGGTGTGTGGGTGCTGCTATTGAAGATCAATTGGGTGCATGACTGCTAAAGGATGAAGTATATGGTATATGGATTATATGTCAACAATAAAAATATTATAAAAATATTAATGGAATAGTGGGCAAACCATCACTGGAGAGTTGAAAATAATTTTTTAAAAGAAAGTTCTCAAGATTAATATATGGATTCTGTCTCCTGTGCTTAACTAGCTTATAGATTTTAATTTCGAAGTCTAGTTACACCATCTTTAAAACAGATAATATTAACACTTGCCTTTAGAACTGTGAGGATGAAGTAAGGTAATCATGTGCCTAGCACAATGATTGATGCATACAAAGTACTCAATAAATGGGTGACTATTACCATTACATAGTTTTCAAAAACGATGAGAGTAGATTCTAGAATGAATATCTTTAAATGTCCAAAATGAAACTAATTATTTTAAATGATGTGTGGAATTCTACAATAAAAATATTCTCTACATTATCAGTTTGTACAGAATTGTACAGTTAAAACCTATATAATTTTATTAATATATAAAATAGCTAGGTGTTGATGTATCCATTTCAAAGAAATGTACATAAAACATTACAATCATTAGAGCCCTGTGTTATCTGAGTATAAAACCTGGATTATCTCTTCTGCCAAATTTAGATTTACACCCCACTTAAATGGAAGTTAGAGTTCCAGTTACCTCAAATCCAGCTGCAAACAAAAACAAGTGTAAAAACGCTTGAAAGCAATAATAAAAAGTTACTGCAAAGTTTGTGAGCTAAGCTGGAGCTGTTTGTGAGTCTCTCACAGTCCTTTCGTTTAGCTTATTATAACAAACTAGAGGCCTGGTGCATGAATTCGTGCACAGGTGGGGTCCCTCGGCCTGGCAAGCGATTGGGGCTGATGGGGGCTGCAGGAGGTTGGCCGGCCAGCCAGATGGGGCCATGGGGGCCGACCAGCTGGGGGTCAGGGCTGCGGGAGGTTGGCTGTGGGAGCGCACTGACCACTAGGGGGCAGCTCCTGTGTTGAGCGTCTGCCCCCTGGTGGTCAGTGCGCATCATAGCAACCGGTTGACCAGTCATTCAGTAGCTTAGGATGTGTGTGTGTGTGTGTGTGTGTGTGTGTATATAATGTTCAGGTCTGTGAGTTCCCAGCCCAGAAATTAGAATGTGATCATTGAAAAGGAAGGAAAAGAAAAGGGGTGCTTTGTTAAAAGTAGATAAACACTGACACCAGAAAACAACAGAACAACTAGAAGGGTGACAGACTGACAAATAGGGAGAATAAGTAAAAAGAGTTCAAAGCAGGGGCTACCTAGAATAAAACTCAAATCTTGGCTCATCTTTTCTACAGGCAAGCAGAGACAAACACTACATTACAACACTGTACAATCCTCAGTGATAAACCTGAGCCACTTTAAAAAGGGTTTATTTCACCATCATTTACTTAAAAAGGCAGAGAAATATTAGGACTAATTTCTAATATCTGCATGAAGGAGCTCACACACTTTAAAAGAAGATGGGGTTAAACAGAGAGAGCACAGGGTGGTGCACAAAGGTGCATTTAGCTAAAAAAAAAAAGGATTAGGAAAAGGTGACAATAAAAAGACTTCTGCAGAGTGTTGATGTCAGCGCTGACTTCTGAAGAATGAAAAAACTGCAAGAGGGCAGGCAGGACACTGTACACAGACAGATGGTGGCATTTGTGAGGGCCCATCGAGTTTACTCCAGGATCTTTAGGTAGTTCAGACTCTCTGGCATAAAACACACAAGGTGGGGTGGGGCATAAAAATGCAATCTACCCCCAATTGCTGTGGCAGCCTCTGAGATATCACAGACATATGGTGAAAACCACTGCAAGACGACCTGTGAACAAACATTTCTATTAAAATCACTACCATCGCTGGGCAAGTTAAGCGTATCATCCATTTCTTCTAACCTGTACAGACAGACAGAATATTTTCATATTTTTGTGTTTGTTGAGATATTTTGCAGACCTGCTCCATTAATTGAAGTTTATATTGGGGGCAGGGAGGGGAGGGGAGTTAACTAAACATTACTCCAGAGAAATTCAAAGCTTATGATAGGTGGCAACTATTCGATTTCTCCTAGTCAGCAGAAAATGTTCCTGTCAGGGTCTCAACCATAATTGGCCTGAGTTCTGAGCAAGGAATACAGAAGTGTCGTAGAAATACTGATCAAAAGTATGAGGAAGTTGGCAATGATGTACTCTTTAAAAACCTAGCATTTTGAACTCCCTCCCATCAATATTAATGAAGAAAAGAATAGAGGAATTAGATTACAAGATCCTTTTCCAGAATCAAAGGAGATGATGTCCAGAAATGCCTTTTCCAAACTAAATCATATTATACAAGTAAGGTAGTAATCATGATGCCATGATTAAGTAAAATAGCATCCCATTTCTATCATTGAAGCACAATGCCTTGAATAAAATGTCCATGGACTAAAGATTATTAGTAATCATTTTAATCTTAATGTTTTATAAAATAATGGGCATTTAGCTATTGCACTGGCAGGTGGCTATATTGAGCCCATTGCATATCACTTATATAATTCAACTAGAGGCCTGATGCATGAAATTCGTGCAAGAGCAGGCCTTCCTTCCCCCCGGCTGCTGGCACCGGCTTCCTTCTGGCACCTGGGACCTGGGCTTCCCTTGCAGCCCCGGCTTCATGCAGAAGGTCGTTAGGTCTAATTAGCATATTACCCTTTTATTATTATAAATATTCATATGGCACTAGGGTGTGTTCTGCAACAAAAGACAAAAATAAGACAGGATCCCTGCACAGAAGGCATACAATCGGAAAGGCATAAAGATACAAGGGATAGAACTATAGGAACAGAAAACTTAATCTTTAAAAAATTTTGTTTCCATGAAAAATTCCCAAGTCTTTGGTGATAATCAGTGGAATGCCTTAATGAAGCAGGTTTTAGAAGCGGGTATTAAAGGGAAGGTGCTCATTTGTTGTAAGAAAGGATGGATTTGTTTCTGGGACATGATGACCAAATGATTCTTGACGGATGGCAGGAAGATGCTTCCCTGGGTGTCAGAATATTCTGGGCGGGAACAAAGAAGCTAGGAAGTTTCAGAACAAGATGGTAGCTTCTGCCCTTGAATTGATTTCATTTATTTTAAAAATTCAGTTAACACCGAAGAGAATGTGGGCCTTTTCGGTTTCTAAAAGGGAGAATGCTTTAAAAACAGAGATGAGAGATATCAAGATGAAGATTAAGAAAAATGAACAGTGCAATGCAGTGCTAGAAAAAATTAGGAAAAGAACAGACATAAGGGGAAGAGTCAAAGGTAAAGACCACAAAACAATGGAAGAATTAACAAGACGTCCAGGTTAATTAGGAAGGTCAGGTGAGGGAAGGCTTAATATGAAATTTGTCTTACAAGAGATTATTAAAAGATTTAAAGATGTAATACAAAGGTCCCACTGAAGCAAAAGATAAATTTTAAATGATTTTGATTTAAAAAGGGAGATATACTGTAAAATATTTATTTAATAAAAATAATTTTATAAGCTATACAGAATTGAATAAAAAGTACAACAAATTATTTCCACTTTGCAAAACTGCATACAGTACAACTTGCAAATAGTGTTCAGCATCTGCAAACATGGCCACCCACCAAGACGTGCACCTATTACTGTCTTAATAAGTAAAGGCTCCAGGTGTGTGCCACAGACTTCAAATTATATTCCAGGGAGATAATGCTTTGGTAACATGAACACTTTGATTATACAACAGTCCATTTTATTGTACCACTCTTCGATTTGTTTCTGAGTAAACAATTCCCTATATAGCAAAATAAAAGATAAAATATAAAATTACAGGCTGTTACTTTACGACATCATGTCCTCTTCCCTTCCATAGCTAGTGTTCTTTTCCTTTCCCTATATCCAAAAAGAAGTTGAATGGAAAATGACCTATTCTTACTCTATTCATTTACTTTTAGAGTTCCTGATTAAACCAAATATATCTGTCAATTTTGCAATCTTGACACTATTATTCAGTTTAGCTGTGTCACTCGAAAAATATTAACACCCCCAGATGAAAGCAGCTACCAAGGTTCTTTTCAAAATAAGGCAACGAAGTTGGCTTTAAAGTCCTCTTCACGTCTCACATATTCCAGCAGCCACTTGGTAGGCAGGCTGATTTGTTAATGTATAAATGTATACAGAATATTTTTTTCAAGTACCTTGGAACTGGAATCACTAGCAGTTGTTATTTTAAGCAAATATTAAAGATGACCCACCTTTAGAGCAAAGGCAGATTAATGTACAAAGTGCAGGAATCGTACCTATCCTGGTTCCTGTCCCATTGAAATCATCGAAAAGAGGCTCAGTTTGTGAAAAAGGCCTTGGAATAATCCAACTCCTAATGACAACCTTATCTTGGAAAAGAAGGACAAATATAAAAGTTATAAATGGAGATGAAGTTATTTTAAAAAATAATTTTTCATTTTATTTTGGAAATAAAAGGGAATGCAAACACAGAGTGGGCAAGAACGTTAAGCGCCATGTCAGTCACCGGTGACTGACACTATACTTTCTGCCCGGAAGACAAAACAGGCTGGGCGCTTAACGTACTAGTTGTATCTTTAGCCCATATTTTAACTTTTCATCATGGAATTAACAGTCCTTCCTACTGAGGAATAAAAGACGAGGAACTCTACCTACATTTTCTGATTAGGTCTCTTCACTCAGCTTATTAGCAGGCTTCAAAACTTGCCTTATTTTCTAACTAAATGAGCTTCTCTGGGAAGCATAGAATAATGCAAACATATATTTCAAACAAAAATCTACACAAATACATAATTCGCAAGATGGGAACATTCATACAATGAAATCTTAAACATAACTTATTAGAAATAACACATACTCCTCATAGGACAGGACACCAACCAGAGCAAATATTGCCTGTGATAGGACAACTTTCATCTGTAGAAACACAAGTGCACATGAGTAACACAAAATATGAATTAAGTTGTACAGAGACAGTGCTGTTACAACATATTCCTATCTTGACCTGTAACATCGGTGGCCCCTGTGAGACCCTGGTCTCAAGCTTCTGTCTAATCAGCTGTAGAAGTACTTGACCTATGAGACACCCAGCTCACTTGCTATCAAGTATACAACACCATGTGCTGCTTGACTGCTCACGATGATTTGGTTTTCAAAATCAAGTTCACTTTTGAATCAGAAAAACGTCATCCTTAAATAAACAAACTTTTCTTCTGTTCCTCTGAACATGATTATGTTACGCTAGAAACACAGGTATAGTCAATTGGCTGCTTTGAAGCCATGAAATGCACATTCATAAATATATGTTCTACACCTTAAAAAATTAAATACATCCAGGGACTGTGGCTGTGCGGAGTTCTTGCTATAAGAAGCTTGTCAGTAGTATATTATGAAGTGGTTACTTGAGAACTTGACTCTGGATCTTCCTGCTTTGTATATTTCTTCATAATAGTGACTATACCATTAGCCAGGAACACCACAGCGATGAGTGCAAAATAACCTGCGTAGATCAGGAACTAAAGGGGGAAACAAGTCATGTACAGAATTATTAATAAGAAGAGCTGTTGTATTACACGTATGAAAACAGGGGAAACAAGTCATGTACAGAATTATTAATAAGAAGACGTATGAAAACGTACTCTATAATTAAAAGGAATTCAGTTTCTCAATAAAACTTTAAAAAGTAGTGTGTTTACCCAATGTGCCAGGCACCGAAAACACAGAGGCAGCAGGGTGTGGTGGTACAGAAGCCTGGATGCCTGAGTGTGAATCCTGATGACATCCTTGACTAGCTGTGTGACGTTGATTGAGATACCTAATCTCTGAACCTTAACTTCATTTACAAAATGGAATTCGTACTTCCTACTTTACAGGGTTGTTGGGAAGGGATGAGATCATGCATGTAAATGTTTATTAGCGCCATGCCGATGCTGTTAATACTACTGTTGGTAATTTTGTTGTTGTCACTGACTCATGGTCTCTACCCTCAAGCCGGCAGATTGGTACCTGGGTATGACTAACAGGCCAAGTTCTGAAGATCAAGAACTTTGATTCTTCCCCAGAAGAGGGCAGTAGAAGGTCAACTACAGATTGGGGCAAAATGAGGTTTATAGTTGTTTGCATGGAAAATAATACAATAATTAATACATAATAATAATGAATAAACTGTTTCTGTAAACCTATTTTTTGCCCCACCCTGTATATTCCATTATAGGATTACATTTTATATGGATCCTCTCTAAGCCGACTTTTTAATGTGGCTATATAGTTTAGCAACATAGTCACCACCATATTCTTCTTAAAATAACTTACTAAATACATATAAGCTGGTCCATGGGTTCAATAAGAGAGTAACTCTAAGTCTTTGAACTAGGTTTTTAAAAGATTGGATATGTTTTCCTATAGGAAATCTGTTAATCATGGCAGCTACAGGTTCAGCACAGCACACAAATTTCTATTATCCCATATGTTTAAACCCATAATCTTTATAGCAGGATAACAGGTTCTAGTTTCTGTCCTACCCTCCATCCTTAATGAAGCTCCTAACTCTTGCAAGGTCTTCTGAGGTTTCCACTGCCAGTAGTAACTGGGAAACAGAAAGTAATAAGCTCCCCTCCTCTGCTCCCCTCTCCACCTTTCTGAGGCAAATGCAGTGCAAGGCAAGCAGGCTTCGGAGTTAGATTCTGGTTGAGATCCTAGCTCTGCGCCACTATTGTTGACTCCGTGACCTTAACACTCAACATTACTTAACTCTCAGGTTATTTTCTCCATTCTAAACCTGTTAATCCTATATAAGTACCTGGCACATAGAAAGCGCTCAGTGCAAATTACCTATTATTATGATTTTTCTTAGATCTCATCCATAAAAATACAGTTAATTACTGCTGATATGTTGGGTCTTTCTATTCTAAAACTAATGTGTACGTATGGAGGGAATAATGGAGAAGCAATGTTCTGGCCTGGGATGGGGCACTTTTTGATTTAATCGCCTGTTTTGCCAAAGTACAGAGCAAACCCTACCTATAGGCTCACAATGCATGAAGGCATATGCAACCATATGATCCCTCAATGAAGAAATGTGTTCACATGGTCTTGGGTGTTTGTACAGGTGTTTTCTTAATAGGTCATGTGTTAAGAATCAGAATGCTATTCATCAACAGCAAGTCACTACATTGGTATCTGGGGGAGGGGGATTAAATAAAGAAGGGAGGAGACTTAGCTTCGGGATAAGGCAGGATTGCCCCCAACATGCTCCAGGTAGCAAAGAACTACAGAGGGGGAGGACTGACAGGAGGGGACGCCGTTACTTTTTATGTTATGTCAGTCTATACTGTTTGAATTTCTTTTCATTAGGCATGTCACCCTGATCAAGGCGTAACTTCTTCAGTGCAAAACAGCTCTTACCTGAGTGGTGATTTCTAAGCCAAGGCCACTGGCATCGACTACAATGAGTGTGAGCAGCGTCTGCAGGGCCAGAGCAATGAAGGTGTTGACACCAAACACTAGGGCATAGCGCTCCATACTGAGGTTTGCTGCAATCTGAAAACTTAACAAATAAAGAAGAATAGATAAGAATTTCTTCCTGGGTAGTTAAAATTTTAATTTAAATGGGAAGGGTACCCCCTTCTTTCTACTGTCAATCACCTTCCCAAATAAGTGAAAAGTATTTTGTTGCTTAAATGACTTAGATCTCATGCAAAATCTGGAAACAGCAGGAACACGTGAACGAGGAATTAAATGAACCTTGCCTAAATGCTTCCTCAGGAGAAAACAAACAATACAGGGCTTTCTCCCATTTGCCTCTCTTACTTAGAAAATTTAATTTCTTTGTAAAGAAACCAAAAGGTTTATCCAATCACAACTTTTCCTAATGCTTCTTTGAATAAAATACATACGTTGCTATAGTGATGAGTAACATGTAGATGATTCTGAAGACAACATAGGACGCGTAGCACACCCAAATGTTACCCACGGTGTCCATGATGTACACTGCGGCCGCAATCAGGAGAGAACACAGCGACAGTGTCATTTCTCCCCAAGTGGACCAGGATATTTTTATGTAACCAACTGCAAAAACGGCAACAGCACCTGCAGAATGACAAGAGAAATAAATAAAGACTATTTAAAAAATTTAAATCAGCTTAGATTATTCCATTTTAAAGCTGAGAACTTATATAGAGGGTGCTCAAGATTAGGGAGGGCCTTGAAAGGGAGGCAGAGACTTGGACTTGATGGAATAAATGCTATGGAGCCAGTGTGAGGATGTGAGACTGAATCAGGGCAGCTGGCAATGAGATGGGAAAGGAGGCCACAGATCCAGGGAGGCTGCTAAAGAAATGCGGCTGAGGCAGAGGCAATGTCCAGAAGAACCACTGCTCCTACCGGTAAGCCTGGCACCGTGGCAGGACAGGGCCTCTCTCCTCCTCCCTGAGGAGCCACTGAGAACATGGCAACAGGGCATCTCTGCCCTTTGGGAAAATGACGACAATGATAATGACAGCTAAAATCTATGGAGTGCTCCTAAGTGCCAGGTGCAGTTATAAGTGTTTACAGAAATCATGTGAAAACCTTTATGAGGCATGTCAACAAATTAGAAAGGGACAATAGAATAAAGTGGTCAATGCACCGGTTCTGAGTTCAAATCTTAACCTCACTACTTACCATCTACATTACCTTGGGCAAGTTAGTAACCTATCTGTCCATGGTTTCCTCAACTGTAAAATAGGATGGCAATTGCAGCTATCTCAGGAATTTTGTAAGGACTGAGTTAATATACATGAATTATAACAGCGGTTCTCAACCTGTGGGTCACGACCCCTTTGGCGGTCGGACGACCCTTTCACAGGGGTCGCCTAAGACCATCCTGCATATCAGATATTTACATTACGATTCATAACAGTAGCAACATTACAGTTATGAAGTAGCAACGAAAATAATTTTATGGTTGGGTCACAACATGAGGAACTGTATTTAAAGGGCCAGAAGGTTGAGAACCACTGAATTATAACATCAGAGCTCAAAGTAAGTAAGTCATTCTTTGGAGTTACTTCAAGTTTGGGAGAGGAGAGAAAACCTGATTATGGTTGACGACTACCAGAGGAATCCCCCTCCTGACCATCCCTAATTCAGCACTGCTTACCCAGTAAGGTGGAAACAGCCTCCACGCCTCCGTTATAGATAGCAGCATTGCGAGAAGGCATCACCTGCTCCCACAGGCCCTGTGTGTAGTTGATCACTTGAAAATAGCCACAGGTGGAGAGGGCCCACCACACGGACCAGCAGAGCAGCGGGCGGGAGGAGTAGCACATCAAGAAGTCGTTCCACAGTACCTTCAGCACAAGGAGCCGGTCTGGCTGGGGCTCCTACAAACCAAAGGGAAGAAAGCTCAACCATCTCGAAGGCAACTGGACAGGAGCAATTGTATAGGCTCAATATTTAACTTAACAGGTGTTACTCTTTTCCTTTGTGAAAAATATATACAGGGTGGGGCAAAAGTAGGTTTACAGTTGTTCATATGGAAAATAACAATAAATAATAATACAAGAATAAACTCTTGATACATAGTTATAAAATTTTCTTGTAATGAGAACTTTTAAGACCTATTTTATTAGCAACTTTCAAATATGCAATACTGTCATCACCATGTTGCACATTGTAGTCCCAGGACTTATTTTATAACTGGAAGTTTGTACCTTTTGACCTCCTTCACCCATTTCTCCTACTGCCCAATCCCAATCTGTTCTTTATATCTATGAGATTTGTGGATTTTTGGTTGTGTGTGTGCACGTTTTGTTTTGAGAATCCAAATATAAGTGAGATCGTATGGTATTTGTCTTTCTCTTTTTGACTTATTTCTCGTAGCATAATACACTTGAAGTCCATCTATGTTGTCTGCAAATGACAAGAATTCATTCTTTTTTTTTCCTTTAATCCTCACCCAAGGATATGTGTTTATGTATTTAGTTTTTAGAGAGAGAGGAAAGGAGAAACATTGATGAGAGAAACATCAATTGGCTGCCTCCCCCAATCAGGGATCGGATCCAGTGGTTCTCACCCTTCCTAATGCTGCGACCCTTTAATACAGTTCCTCATGTTGTGGTGACCCCCAACCATAAAATTATTTTCGTTACTACTTCATAACTGTAATTTTGCTACTGTTATGAATTGTAATATAAATATCTGATATGCAGGATGTATTTTCAGGGGTCGTGACCCATAGGTTGAGAACCGCTGGTAGGCAATCAAGGTAGGTGCCCTGACTGGGAACTGAACCTGCAACCTTTTGGTGCACAGAACAAAGCTCCAATCAATTGAATCACCCGGCCAGGGCAGAATTCATTTCTTATGGCTAATAATTTTTTATTATTATACACCACATTTTCTTTATTTGTTCATCCACTGACGGACACGTAGGTTGTTTCCATATCTTGGCTATTTTAACTAATGCTACAATGCATATGGGGGTGCAGATATCTTTTTGAGTTAGTGTTTTTGTTTTCTTCAGATAAATACCCAGAAGTAGAATTGCTGGATCATATGGATGTTCACTTTACACTTCTATCAATAGTGACAAAGGGTTTCCTTTTCTCCACATCCTCGCCAATACAGTGGGGCCTTGACTTACGAGTTTAATTCGTTCCGAGACTGAGCTCGTTAAGGAGCTCGTTAACTCAAATTACTGTCAACTCAAAGCAAAAAATCGGCCGAGAGACAGCTGGTATCTCAAAAAACTCGTTAGTCGGGACACTCGTAAGTCAAGGCCCCACTGTACTTGTTATTATCTTTCTGAGAACAACCATTCCAACAGGTGTGTGTGGTTTTGATTGCATTTCCCTGGTGATTAGAAGCATCTCTTCTTGTATCTGTTAGTCACGTGCATGTCTTCTTTGGAAAAATATCTATTCAGATCTTTTGCCTGTTTTTTAATTGGATTTTTTTTTTTTTTACTATTGAGTTGTATTAGTTTTTTATGTATTTTGGATATTAACCCCTTGTCAGATATATAATTTGCAAATATTTTCTCCTATTCAGTAGGTTGCTCTTTCATTTTGTTGACTGTTTCCTTTGCTATGCAGAAGCTTTTTAGTTTGATGCAGACCCACTTATTTTTGCTGTTGTTGCTTTTGCTTTTGATGTCAGGTTTAAAAAATCATTGCCAAGACCAATGTCACGAAGCTTACTGCCTTTGTTTTCTTCAAAGAGTTTAATGTTTCGGGTCTTACTGTCTCAAATCTTAATCCAGTTTGAGTTAATTTTGTGTAGCCTCTTTTCCTTTAAATAGAACCTTGAAAGGGTATAATTAAGTCTTTACAAGTTAAAGGCCACTCTTTACTGAGCTCAGTTGTGCAAAGGGAAATTTGTCTATAGTCAAACCAATGGCTACGATGGGAACTTTTGAGAATAAGTTTGACAAACTTATTTTTGTCAAAATATGGTTCTATGAGTCAGGACTGCACTTTTTTCTGATTTTCATGGCTAGTTCCTTTATGTTACTCAGGTCTCAACTCAGACAATAGCTTTCAGAAGCCATTCAGTATTGCCAATCATTACTTCTCGATACCCTGTCACTTGCTAGCCCATTTTCCCTTTCTATAAAATCAAGATCAAACCACCCACCTACCCACGTATTCTTCACCATAATTACTTCAGTTATAACTTATGGTTCAGTTATGAGCTTTGTCAACTTAAAATGACAGTGCAATCTCCAACATCCATATTTTGACTTTCCTTCAGGCTTGTCAAAGAAAAGCAGTATTTTAGGGCTGTAAGCGCCAAGCAGCACTGCCTGCCTGTTGGGGTGCCAGGAGCAAAGCCACGGACATCATGGTATGGCTTGAATCCTAATCTTTACCACACTGTAACCAACATGATGGTTCTGACTGCTGTCTCCCAGTGAAAGACTTCATGGAGCACAGTATAGGGGAAGTGAATCTCCCGTATATTCTTCACTATGTTTAGGAGTATATCTGTCTAATTCTACTGTCACGATCTCTGATCCCGATCCTCTTCTCTAACACGAGAGGGTTGATGAGATCTAATGTCCTTGTAACTTTAAGATGCTTTTATTAGTCTAAGACTTGTGGTTTGAATCACTTTTAATTCTAAAAATGTCATAATTATTCAGCATGTCAAGTATTCATACTTTGCCTATCTATAAACAACAAATATCAAGTTGCTCTATGACTGTAGATTTCAACTCATTAATAGACTAGGTTTCAACTATTAGTAGGTAATAAAATCAATTTAGTGAGCAACGATCACATGATAAAAAATAAAGTGAATTGCCTGCCTGTTGGGGTGCCAGGAGCAAAGCCACGGACATCATGGTATGGCTTGAATCCTAATCTTTACCACACTGTAACCAACATGATGGTTCTGACTGTTGTCTCCCAGTGAAAGACTTCATGGAGCACAGTATAGGGGAAGTGAATCTCCCGTATATTCTTCACTATGTTTAGGAGTATATCTGTCTAATTCTACAGTCACGATCTCTGATCCCGATGCTCTTCTTTAACATGAGAGGGTTGATGAGATCTAATGTCCCTTGTAACTTTAAGATGCTCTTATTATTCTAAGACTTGTGGTTTGAATCACTTTTAACTCTAAAAATGTTATAATTATTCAGCATGTCAAGTATTCATATTTTACCTATCTATAAGCAACAAATATCAAGTTGCTCTATGACTGTAGATTTCAACTCATTAATTGACTAGGTTTCAACTCACTAATAGGTAATAAAATCAATTTAGTGAGCAACGATCACATGATAAAAAATAAAGTGAATGGAATGTGTCAGAATAATGTATTTTAAGAACCATGGTTTCAGTTACATAAAAAGTATATGTGTGTGTATGTATGTACATATATATATATACACACACACAAATATATCCTATATAATAAAGAGCTAATATGCTAATTAGACCAAACAGCAGAACGACCATCCAGACAACCTTCTGGACGAAGCCCCTGAGGCAGCCGGGGCTGCGAGGGCTGAGGCCGCTTGCACACGCGCACACACACACACACACACCTGTGTACTCATTGCTATGTAAAATGTTTCTTACTAAGTAGTTTCCTATTCATATTCAAAAAATGATAAAAAATAAAGTGAATGGAATGTGTCAGAATAAAATAATGTATTTTAAAAATTATGGTTTCAGTTACATATAAATATATATATTCAGTTACATAAAAAGTATATGTGTGTGTATGTATGTACATATATATATATACACACACACAAATATATCCTATATAATAAAGAGCTAATATGCTAATTAGACCAAACAGCAGAACGACCATCCAGACAACCTTCTGGACGAAGCCCCTGAGGCAGCCGGGGCTGCGAGGGCTGAGGCCGCTTGCACACGCGCACACACACACACACACACCTGTGTACTCATTGCTATGTAAAATGTTTCTTACTAAGTAGTTTCCTATTCATATTATATAAAGTTTAAAACTTAACTGGTCTATAAAAATCTTTAGAACTATGGTCAATATGTTAACATTTTTAAAAATATACATGTATTATAGATATGTATGTACATATTAATCTTAGCTAAAGCCATTTTGACACATTTGAGACAGATTTTTAAAAGGTTCTTATTCTTTTTTCTACATGAGATCTATCAAACGACCACTCATACTCCTTTCCCTTCCTCATCAACTCTTTGTTGAGTCTCTGGCATCACCTAACAAACTGATGGAATCAGCGTTTCATTTCTACTTAGTTCCTGGTAACTCTGACTGAAGCTGCCCTAATAGTCAAAGTGAGTTTATGGTAAGTGTCACCCAGGCTCTGAAGTGTGACCCAAGCTCTTTGGGATGATAACCTACATTTCAACGAGTAACCAGAGTGAAGAATGGGGGAAGGCGAAAGAGAGTAATTTTCGATGAGGACATTAGATGCCACGTTGAAAGAAGTTGGATTAACTCCAGGTGGAGAGCCAGGCTCTATTCATGCTGGTCCTTTACTCTCAGCCGGCCCACAAAGCCTACGGAGCTTGGCTTTATGCCTGACAGAACCTGTCTACAAAGATGGAATGTTAATAGGCTTATTAACAAACACCTCCCAAGAAAACTAAGATTAATTCAGTATGTTTGAAATGAATCTTGCCTCTCATAGCTTATAACCTGATAGATAAACTTTTATTAAAGGGTGACTGACTGGGGGAGGCGGTGAATCTTCCTGGCTAGAGAGAATGGATGGATGAATTATTTGGATGCCATACCTCAGCTAAGAAACAATTTCATAGTCACACTTCTAACATTATTTCATCTTCTTAAATATTCCTTTGGATCCTCATCTCCTGTATTATTCATTACTACGCACTTCGGCAAAGTAAAATTTCCAGCACAGAAGAGGACAGTAACTCCTATCCGTAAACACTTTGGCTTCAAGTGAGAAACTGGAAGTAGATATTCATCATTTGTTGGAATCATTTCACCTATTCATTTAGCAAAAATTTTCTGAGTGCTGTATTTATATGCCAAGTTCTGGGGATTGAAAGATGAAAGAAGAGATAGCCCTTACTGTGGCTTCTAAAACATCTCTGACACAAGCAATAGAATGTTGTGCCAGTCTGACCTTGAAGGTCATTCACTCCAGAGGAAAACACATTTGTCATTCCTAATTTAAATCAATCTTATCTTGAATCAATGAATGAATGAACCTCCATCCAACTCAGGATAAAACCTGAGTCCACGTGAATACAAGGTCTAGCATAGGGGGTTTCCTGTCTGTTTTTTCACTGCTGGCCTGGCCCCAGAGTAGCAGCCACAAGACATTTAAAGTTGGACTTACCGGTTCCTCCATGGGAGGCTCCTCCACATTTAGAGGGATTTTTGACTCAACATCCTCCCACCCGGGAAGGTGGTTAGAAGCTGAGGTGTCAGTCACAATACCACCATTTTGTATCTTGATACCATTCACTCCCTTGCAGGTAGAATGAACATGGTGGAAAAAAAGGCTCTTCTGTGGCATAGGCAGAAACCAGGCCACGGCAAAAGCCACAGAAACACAGGTAAGAGAGATGACATTCAGGCTGAACAGGGACCAGCCTGCCACTGAGACGAGGATTTGCCCTAGGACAGAGCCCACTGTGAAGCCCACCAAGGTGGCAGTTCGACTGTAACTTGTGACTTTCTGGTACCTGCTCAGGTCTACTACACTGTAGATGTAAGAGTAATAGGCGATTTCAGTGGCTGTGGCGATGCCATAGAAGAATTCCAAGAACTGAATGGCCAGCAGTCCCTGGGCATAGAGCAGCATGAACCATGTGACGATAAGGCTGAGCCCTTGCAGCAGAATGACGGGTTTGTAACGGAGGTAGTCTGTGGCAAGGAACACAGGAAACAGCAGCACCAGATAAGAGTAAGTCCATACTGGATAAATTTCATTGTAGACCTGATAGGCAAAGAAGGATAAAAAGTTATTAGTGATATCAAAGGACCTGGAATATTCATAACAATTTATTCTTATAAAACAACATACCAATACCTCAAATACCTCATCCTTACCAACCAAAGAAATCATGACAACAGTTCTGAATAGTGTTTGGAATATACTTCCCTATTTCCACTCTATCTTTTTCTTAAAATCCTGCCCATTCATCAAGGCCTCGTTCTTAGGCTTCCTCGCCCTGGGAGACGGCGGGCGCTGACAATCTTTGTACCACAACACTCAAGGCTCTCTGGATACTGCTTTGTACGTGTCATCTCCCCGTTCCTCACATCACTGGTTCTCAGCCATGGCTGCACATTTCCCAAGGAGCTTTGAGAATTCTGGATGCCCAGCCATCGGCATTTTATAAAAACCTCCCAGGAGATTTTAACATGAGTCAGATCTGAGAACCGCTGCCTTATAGTTCTTTAAGGGTGGACTCATCTGCACAACCTAATAGCCGGCATACTGTTTAGGACATACCTGGCTCAATAAATGTCTTCAAAACAAATAAATCCCTTGGAATCATTGTCAATTCCTTCTTCGAGGCACAGGACAGGAAGCCTTGATCTTACTGCTTGATTGATTAGGACTGGTTTGAATCCTCTCATTTTAAGTTTCATTTCTTTGGGAGCCCAGGAATAAAAGAGTTGATCTGTTTACAATCTTTTAAAGATATATATATTTTTTACTGATTTCAGAGAGGAAGGAAGAGGGATAGAGAGATAGGAACATCAAAGATGAGAGAGAATCATTGATCTGCTGCTTCCAGCATGCCCCCTACTGGGGATTGACTTCCTAGGCATGTGACTTCCTGGTTCATAGGTCTATGCTCAACTGCTGAGCCACAATGGCTGGGCTGTTTACAATTTTGATAGAATATCTGTGGGTGGTAGAATTATGGGCAACTTTGATGTCCTTCTTTTTGCTTGAAAAAGGAGCAGTGTTGGCTATTTATTTTTAATGTATTTTTAAAATTGAGATATAATAGAAATAATCTTTAAAATAAGCATTAAACCATTAAGACTTCCAGCTAGAATTTCAGTTTCATCATTTGCTGTGTGATCCTAGGCAAGTTCTTTTAGTTCCCGTTAGACTTACTCTCCATTATCAGTAAAAGAAGGTAAGACCTATACCATAGGGTCATTGTTGCAAGGATTAAATGAGAGAATATGTGTAAATCACTTACTCCTCTTTATTCATAGGTCTGAAGACTGGAGGACTACCATGAACATACAGACCACTTGGAACAATATGAATTAGATAAATTAACTGTCCTCCCCATTCTTCCAATAACAATCATCATAGGAGACTTTTCCTTCCTCTTATATGTGCCTAGTGTCTAGCAAGGTCTAGACCAGTCAGTTTTTAAAGATCATTTCAAATTCTGCATCAGTGGCCCCCAATTTTTTTTTTGGTTAATCTTCACTCAAGGATATTTTTTTCCATTGATTTTTAGAGAGTGGAAGGGAGGGGGAGAGACAGAGAGAGAAACATTGATGTGAGAGAAACACATCACTTGGTTGCCTCCCTCACCAGGGCCAGAGCCTGCAACTGAGGTACGTGCCCTTGACTGCAATCGAACCTGGGACCCTTCAGTCCTTGGGCCGATGATCTATCCACTGAACAAACCGGCTAGAGCAATGTCCCCAGTTTTTAAGTGCTTTCTAAAAGGTCATCTTGGTAACAGGTTAAATAGTTTGCAATGGTGCATTGTAACCCTAGACTTTAACAATCTAAGTTCAAAGATAACTTTCTTTTTAACTCTTATGTATACCTCAGTTTACCCAAGTATAAAATGGGCTGTTTTAAGGTTTTAGAGGAGCAGCAGAGTAAACAATTATTGTGAAATCTTTTGCCAGTGCAAAGCACAACTATAAATGTACAACATAATCTGAAATACATTCCAGACTTGATTTCTCTTTCTGACTGGCCGGATACCAAAAGTGATTTGTCTAAGAGACTCACCTTCATGAATTTTTATCTAACTTGTGTTTGTAAGTCATTTAGCAACCTCCACTTGATCAGGAAATGTTCTTGCACCTGAACATGTGCATGAAAGTATAATCGAGAACTGTGGAAATGATTCTAATTGAGAAGTGTGGAAATTTTAGCAAATGAGGAACAAAGTACACTTGGCTGGCTTAACCACCGTGGAAGATGCCTCTCAGTATAAAAGCAAAGGCACCAAGAGTGCCCTGAGATGAAGGCCGGGAAGAGTGAAGGCTTCCCTACAGACTTCCTAGTTGTGTTCCATTAACAAGTTCCCACCGCTTTTTTGCCTGTAGTTTTACAGATACCCTCCTACGGTTTTCTTCAGTTGGAAAGTGCCTCCTGGGTTTGACTTAGCATGTTTCTTCACCTTCCCATTTCCCCAACAAAGCACCACAAAGCTATTAGCCACCACACCTCCCCCTTAAAACGCCCTCCATCACTTCCTTCCATACCCCACCTTCTGTTTTCTACCACACCCCTCTGGACTTTAACTTACTTCTTCACTTTAGCCATATGGTCTGTACTGAGACTTTATACACCTTTCAATAATAATTGTCCCCAAATGATTACCTGCCAAATTTTCATTACATAAATCTCATCCTTTTAATTACCGATTTAAAGTGTTTATACTTATAAGTCTGTTGCTATTCCTAATACAAAACCACAATATAAACCATGAAGATAAGGAAAAGTAACATTGCCAGACCTGCAATGCCAAGTAGAAACAAAAACAAAAGGCAAGCGGGCAGAGACCAGATGGCTTCTCTTTAACTTACTGTAAACAGGAAACCAGACTTTTCTCCTGTGAGAGAGGATCCACCTGACATGAATGTCCCTCTCACCGTGTGACCTGCATTAGAATAGCAAATCTCTACTGAGGAGCTACACGCTGTGCTAATCACCTCACCTACATGACCCCATTTAATCCAAACAACAACCCTAGGAGGGAAATGCTTGTCATCCCTATTTTAAAACTGAGGAACCTGGCCTCAGAGAAAGGTTACATCAACTGTCCCCCAAGTTATCATAGGTCGTAACCGGCAGAGGGAGACACTGGACCTAGATATTCTGAATCCACCGCACTTCAATGCCTCATTTCTCCAATCAGAAAACTGGTATTGATCATTTACTGTGTTCCAGGGTTACTTCTAATGCCTGAAGCAGTTTTTTTTCTGAGAGAGAGAGAGAGAGAGAGAGAGAAACACATCGATTAGTTGCCTCCTATATGCACCCCGGCCAAAGATCAAACCTGCAACCTAGGTATGTGCCCTGATCAGGAATTGAACCCTTGACCTTCTGGTGCAGGGTAGGACATTTGACCCAACTGAGCCACACTGGCCAGGGCTACAGCAGCTTTTTCAGCCTGCATTGAGGTGCTTGTATAGGGCATTCATGAAGAGATAAAGACCACATCTCCAGAGGTTAGCCACTGGGTTTCCAAAAAAAAGGATCCCTTCTCTCTCAATGCCTCCAAGGAGAAGCTGTCACACCAAAAGTGCTTCTTTGACAGATACTTTGACTCTTGAAGGGGAACTTCCTACATGCAGAAATGGACAAATTACAGGCTCTACTGTCCAGACCCTGGACAATACCTTATGTCAGGTAAAATCTGCCATGTGAGCAAAAGGAACTGATTTTATTGTAAGGCACTTGTCACAACTCTTGGGGCCAGGACTAGTTTGTGGCTTTCCTCTGAGATAGAAAAGTCAAGGGGGGGGGGGGCAGTTCGGTTTTAGTTTCTAATTCAGATTTAGACTTTATTTTGAATCAAGCCCAGTTAAACTAATAAGCATTTATTTGCACAATTTTAGTTTCTAATTCAGATTTAGACTTTATTTTAGAATCAAGTCCAGTTAAACTAATAAGCATTTATTTGCACAACACTGTTTTCAAGCTGTATGAAGATTACAAGAAAAAAGAATAAAATGAAGCCTGTTCTCCAAGAGCTCTGAACTAGTGTGGGATACACACACATACACTATTGATCAGGGAGATCAGAAATACGGGGTTGCTTCTGTGAGATGGGCCTTAAGGATGAGGAAGTTGGAGGCTAACAAAGTTTCGGTATCAACTGATACACATGTAAGGGAGGGTTTCTCCAGGCTGAGATCTCATCTTTGAGTACAGACCAGGAGATGAGCCCCTGGCCGTGCTGGACTGAGGGCTCTAAGATGAATGAGGCAGGAGCTAGGGCTGGGGAAGAGGGCAAGGGGGAGAAGGATGCAGGCCGTGGAAGATAAGGCTGTTCTGGAGGTAAGAGCCAAGTTCTGTAAGGCTCTGAAATAGCAGGCAGAGAAGGTGGAATGTTTTTTTTTTAAGAAAATCAAAGAAAGGTAGTGATTGTCAAATCACACGCTAAAAAAGATGAAAGGGTTAAAAATATTTTGTAGGTAAAGAGCTGTATTTTATTAAATGTTTGTCTTTCCGCTCTTGGGAAACAATCAAATTTTAACCTGTTTAAAACTTACCAAGTGGTACCTAAAAGAGGTGAACATTTTCCCTGAGATATAAGAAAAAATCTTTTGAGAGTCTGTCCTTCCTTCCCTCCTTTTGTCTTTGGACATGGCTAACAACAGCTCTATTTAAGACGATCCAGCTTGGCCCTTCTCAAGTCTTCTAGGAGGAAATACAAACTTCAACACAAACATCACTGAGCACGATTAACATTCACTCTGCCTAAAAACCATGTCATATTTTTATTTCACTGTCATTGGTGAAAGCAGGCACTCAGTCAGAAAGAACACATTGTTCTATTTATTTCAATTACTCGATTATTTTTAAAAATCTAGGATTCTGGAGAGGGTGAAGAGAGCCACACAACCAACAGACTCAGCCCTAATTCCAGTCCTCAGAGACAAATGGCATCCCTTTCCCCAGACACTCGCTTTCTCTCCAAACCCTGCCCTCTTCCTTTTCTAATTTGCAATAACAGAAGTGTGCCACGGTTTTGTTACACAATCAGCAAATATTTCCGGGCCTGCCCCACCCCCTGCTTTATTCCTATGCCCCTGAACATATTTCACTCACCCTAGAAAGCTTTCTGGTAAGACAGGGCACGTCCCACAGCATGGAACATCCCACAGCAACTCTTTGCCCAGGGCACGTGACAAAACAGATTGCCTTTCAAACATCAACACTGGGAGAATGTTTCTTGGCCGTGCGCGTGGTCAGGCAAGGTGCACACACCGATCACATGGCAGTGCACATGCAACTTTAATTGTCAGCAGCTCACCAGCAGTATCACCTCTGCTTCAGCGCCTACACCTCCGACCCAGGGGCTGTGCTGGGTGTCCAGGATCATTCTCTCCTATTTACTGCAGTCATGTTCTTCTTGTAAAACCGTTCTGTTCACAAGAGTTGGCCCTTTCCATTTTATTACCGTATTAAAATTCATGTAATGAGTAACTGTTGCAGTCCCTTGGGGAATGGGCCCCAAGACTGCAAAATAGAAGACCTGAAGTTGGGTCAAAGTCAGTGACACTTGCGAGAGGTGAGGCTATGAGAAACTCAAATGAAACCCTCCATCCAGACTTCAACACCCGCCTTCAACTCCCCCAGGAGGGACCTTGGAGATGGAGGAGCGATGCAGTAACCGAGTGTGCTGTGAGTAATGACATCCTGCTCTGACCTGTTAGGCAGGGATACTGAGAGGTGATTAATCCCAAGGAGAAGAGCAAGGTTTAGACGGGAGCATGTCACCGCCACTGGAGGAAAA